GCCCGTGACGAGAGCAAGCCGATGATACCCAATTTTAAGGTCCTAGGTCATTGGTTGACCTTGCAGGTCAGGTCAATGACCCCAAAGGCGGGAAAATCCGGACCTCTTAGAACGTCGTAAAGTGTGGCTGCTATGGGGTTTTTCGGGGTGCTGATCACGAATATCATGTTAGCTTTGATCACAGATGATGTCTTCATGTATTTAGGCCAGGTCGGGTCAGGTCAGGTCAGGTCAACCAGTGAGGGTATTCGTAGTAGGTGGCAACCGCCTCTGACAGCTTCGTAACATGTTACGAAGGCACCAAAACTACTTCGTAAATGTTCATGTGGTTGCTAAATTCGAATTCAGCTCCAAAAACTGGCCATGTTTATAACATGTTTATAACATGTAAAACTCGAAAAAGTGAACCGAGGTCATCAAAGGTCAATGACCTGACCTGACCTTCAGGTGACCTTGACACCCACCCTAATGCATGGGGGCAACATCATATCACATGTTTGAACGCTTGAAACCACGAAAAGACAAACCGGCGGCTAATGCGAGCCGACATACGCCGAATCGCGATTCCAGCCAAACATGGTCTCGAAAAGTAGGTCACAGGTCAAAGGTCATTTGGGTCAGGGTCATGAAATTTTCAGGGTGGGTGTGAAATTGATGAACGCGAGGGTACTGAAAGTTTCGTCGCGCTTGGCCGCTTTTTACGCGAGTTATTCGCGAAAAACCATGGGGGGTCCGTTCGACCCCCCTAACGAGCGAGGGTTAATTAAGCTCGACGATACGGATTGATTGATATGCAACATATAACCCTTTCCGGTCAGGTCATGACCTTGACCTGATGTCAAATTTTCAAAATGACTTTTGAAGGTCAAATAATAGTTTATTCAACGCGTCTCGAGAAGAGGAACACGATGCTGGCAAAATGACGTAACTCTCTCGAGTCAAAACGTATTACAGAAAATATTTTTCGTAAAAAAGTTTTTCTTAGTTTTTGCCCTCTGGAGGCTAAACCGTTGAACTGAGGTCAAATCTGAAGAAAATATTTAGAAAGGGCCTTAAAAGAGCCATCGAATGCGTTTTTCTGCGGCCCTGTAGCTCAATTGGTTCTCGAGTTAGCCGTCGCGACGGCTGTTTTGAAAATTGTTGAAATGGGCAAAATTTGACCTTTGATGACCTCTGGTGACCTGACCTGAAAATGACCGAGGTTTTCCTTCTGCGAGTGCCGCTTACCGCGTGTCACTACTTGGCCCAGGAACCTAGTTAGCACGCCCCCCCCCCTCCAGCACTCTACGGAAAACTCAAACCACCAGCACGGCGCGGGTTAAGACGGCCGCTTACGTCGCGAACACAGAAATTTTATAAGCTTTGTATGCGCTGGATTTGGGGTACACCATGTGAATACCATATCTTTACTGTGCCATCTTTATTTCGTAAGATCATTTTCCTTGACGATCTTTTGCTAATACGATCTTTTGTCCATACGAGCATTATACTGTACGATCTTTATCCCATACGATCTTTGGCATACGATCTTTTTCGCTTACGATCTTTTGCGCATACGATCTTTTGTCCATAAGATCATTATGCCGTACGATCTTTATCCCATACGATATTTGGCATACGATTATTTGCCTTGACGATCTTTAGCGGATACGATATTTTGTCCATACGAGCTTTATACCGTACGATCTTTATCCATTACGATCTTTTGCATACGATCAACTTCCTACGATCTTCTGCCATACGATCTTCTGCTTTACGATCTTTTGTCCGGTTACCCCCCTATCAGTGGCGGCCAAGATGTGTTCAGTGACGGACAGCAACGCGGTTTCCGTGGAGTGCCGGGGGCGGAAGCCGTGCTGGGAGGATGCCAGAAGGTGATAATGGGAGAGGTAGGCGTAGAGCTGCTGATGGACAATGCGTTCAACTACTTTCATGATTACAGGAACTAGGAAAATGGGTCGGAAGTTTGCGGGGTCTGAAGGGTTACCGGACTTGAACAGAGGGTGAACTATGGAATGTTTCCATGAATCGGGGATGTCAGATTGGATTAAGCAGGTATTGATAATATGCAAGATGACACCACCAATAGCGGGGAATCCGAATTTCAGCATGCGGACACAGACGCTATCGGAGCCGCAGGCACTCGAAATACGCATGCTGAAAATAATCCGCTCGAGCTCCCCCAGTGTTATCTCACGAAGTAGAAAACTGCATTCGCCGACACGGGTGAGACCCACATCCAAATCGGTGGGAGTGTTTTGGGCTCGGATCTCGTCAGCGACACGAGGACCGACAGATGCAAAAAAAAAAGAATTTAAATCATCGGCAGATAGACCGGGCTGGACGTCTGGGCCGTCCTTCTTCGCGGCTACCACTGACCTGATGCATTGCCAAACTTTGTTGGGGCCCCGCTCCCCAATTTCCCTCCGTATCTCTATGCGCCTGTCTCGACGCACTGCCGCCCGGACTGAGCGGTTTAGGCCTCTGTATTCGCTCGAGTTGCGGCCTAGATGGCGAAGCGCAGCGCGACGTTGAGACATGAGGTTACGGGTGGCGGCGGAGACGGGAGGAGCGGTCGGGTTACGGATAGACACACGCTTGATTGGGGCATGGGCATCAAAAACAGGTACGAAGAACGACAAGAAAGCATGCCACTTGTCACTGACAGTTTCGGCAGAGAAAACATAATCCCAGTCGACATCGAGTAAGTCGTGATACAGTGCAGGGTGAGCTAGGCGCTTCTGGTCTAGACTAACCGATGAGTTATGCTCATTATGAAATTACCTTTTCAGACACCCCCTGAAAACACTGTCCATCGTAAAAGCGTAGAGATAAGAAAATGGCCAAAAAACTCCACGCCAAATCTACCATGAGAAGATTTGCCACACTTTTCTGGACATGATCCATTCAAGAAACCCTGCCCCAACCTGCCCCCCGGCCTTTGGCTCAACTTTGAACGTATCGGGTTGGCCCGCCCGGGGAGGTCCGGCTACAGGGTGGGCGCGGCGGCGGCTCCGTAACGTTACGTGGATGGCTCAACCGCTGTATTTCTGACTTGTTATATTGCAGAATACGGTCGCCGATGAATAAATCTTGGCAATTTTTAACCCTCGCCCGTATAGGGGGTGAGGGTGGGGGTCGAAGGGATCCCTCTCGGTTTTTCGCAAAAAGCTCGCAAAGGCGGCCGATCGCGACGAAACTTTCAGTACCCTCGAGTTTATCAATTTTACACATACCCTTTAAATTTCACGACCCTGACCCCAATGACCTTTGAAATGTGACCTATTTCTCGAGACCGTGTTTGGCCGGAATCGCGATTCGGCGTATGTTTGCTTGCATTAGCCGCGCGTTTGCAGTCTTTTCGTGGTTTCAAGCGTCTAAACATGTAATATCATGATGTTGATCCCATGCATTATGGTCGGTATCAAGATCACTTGAAGGTCAGGTCAGTTCAATGACTTTTGATGACCTCGGTTCACCTTTTTTAGTTTTACATGCTTCCAGGCTAGTTTTTGGAGCTGATTTAGAATTTAGTAACCATTTGAACATTTAGGAAGAAGTTTGGTGCCTTCGTAACATGCAACGAAGCTGTCAGTGGCGGTTGACACCTATTAATTATGAATACCCGGCAGGACGCCTACTGGTTGGCCTGACCTGACGGCTGACCTGACCCGACCTATGTTCGCGTCTAGCAAAACACCAATACGGGCGAGGGTTAATGACATGAAGGTGCTTATGGTGTAGGAGTCTTTGTTTTTACTCCCATTGCTGAGGTTCAGTCCTATCGGTGCGTGTATTTTAGCAACTGTCTACCGATTCATGTGCTTCACCAGGAACATTCACACAGAAACATAATTAGATGTTGATTTAGAATTAGTCTTGATACTGGCGATCAGCAGGCTCAGCGCGTCGCGGGCTGTCGGCGTCGATGGCGTGCCGATGTTCGCTATCCGCGGGTGTTTGGAAGCCACCGCCCCTCATATCCTTCATCTTGTAAATTCATCCATATCTAGTCTTACCTTTCCTGACGCCTGGAAAGTTGCGATAGTGACCCCCGTCTACAAATCTGGTGATCCAACGAACCCAAGCAACTTCCGCCCCATCTCTATCCTTCCAGTCCTCTCCAAAATCCTCGAAAAGGTCGTTTGTTCCCAACTCAGCTCTTACCTTATCAGTAACCACATCCTTTCACCTACTCAGTACGCCTACCGCCCGTCTCATTCCACCGAGGACGCCCTTCTCGACATCATCGGCTGGGTGGCTGGGAAGATCGATGCTGGTGACGTCACGTCACTGACATCGATTGACCTAAGCAAGGCCTTTGATAGTGTAGACCACTCCATTCTCCTGACCAAACTCCAACAGTACGGCATCCCCTCCAACTGGTTCCACAGCTACCTTTCCAACCGTTCCCAACTGGTCCGTGGCAGTTCCTCACAGGCTCTCCCCCTATCCCACGGCGTGCCCCAAGGCTCCATAGTCGGTCCAATCCTATTCCTTGTCTTTGTCAATGACCTATCCTGTTTCCTTCCCCATGGCCGATTGATATCATATGCAGATGACACCCAAATCCTTGATTCAGCGCCACCCACTCCCTTTGAACTTCAGGCGCTGAAATTCCGAGCAGAAAATAACGTAGAGTGCCTTCAGCAATGGTTCAGTGCTAACAGTCTCAAAATGAACGCCGGCAAAACTTGTTTTATTCTTCTTGGCACACCAAGGTGCATGTTGAGAAAGTTCCTTCGTTCACAATTCAGGTTAACAGCACTGAAATCCAGCCTCAAAAGCAAATTAAAGTTCTCGGTGTCATCTTTGATCAGACGTTGAGCTGGGACTCTCATATATCATCCATAGTCCGGCGTGCAAATGCAGTTATCGTATCCCTCTTCAAAGTCCGCTCTCACCTGTCCCCCGATATCCTTAAAATCCTAGTCCAAAATCATGTCTTTCCTCACCTGCTGTACTGTTCCTCTGTGTGGGGCGGTGCTACAAACATCCGTCTAGACCGCCTGCAGAAGATTGTGAATTTTGCAGCTCGACTGGTGTCCGGGCTTCGCCGCTGTGACCACGTTTCTCCCACGCTGGCGGCACTCGGTTGGCCTCGTGTGGAGCAGGTAGTGGCACGCCGTGATGCTGTGAATGTCCACCGTGCCTTACATGTCGGCGGTGCGCCTGTGGCGTTAAGAGACATGATACGCCCGCGTAGCGCTGTGTCTGAGCGCCTGACGCGTGCCACTGCTGCAGGCGCTGCGGCACTCGAGCTCCCCCGCTACCGCCTGACAGCCACGCGGCGGCTCTTCCCGTATAGAGCCGCGGCGGCATGGAATCAGCTTCCACGAGATGCCACCGGGTCCGCATCGCGGCGAAGGGTGATCAACTGTTTTGATTAGTAGATTATGTGTACGTAACTGTATTTTAAGCCATCTCACTCACCTTTTTACCATGTATTTTTATTATGTCAATGTGTTATGCTTCCTTGTTGACGCACCTGTATCATGTAAAATGACTGGGCCATAATAGCCACATGTGGATAAGCCCTCAATATACGATACGATACGATACGATTGATTTTTTTTCCAAGCAAACTTTGGACAATCATAAGAATTTACTAGAGAAATGATGGGAATTTCGTAAACGATTCCTCCTCCTAACATGCCCAATTCATCATTACTGGGACCCACAATTTTATGCCTCTTATATGCGGTTAAATTCCAGGATTTCGTAATCAGAGTCGGAGTCGTTCGGAGTCAACAGTTCTGAACCCAGTCAGAGTCGGAATCGGAATCGATTTTGGAATCCGGACCAAGATTCGTAGTCTGAGTCACCGAAAATCCATCGACTGCGTGGCCTTGCCATGGCTGCGGAGTCAGAGTCAGAGTCGATCGTAGTCGACAGTTTTGCCCGGAGTCAGAGTTGAAATTGACTTTTGAAAGCCTAGTCGGAGTAAATCCATCGACTTCAGAGCCCTGGTAAGCACATCACCCGTCGTAAGCTGGTTCTCCTTACTTTTAGAGGCGGAACTATGCCATAATATGTCAGCAAGCATTTATAATGCATCGTAAAAGGTCTCACATAGGTTTAAGTGTCAATTTTGAAACCAGGGAACCATTTTCAACGGATCCGAGCAGCGCTGGGATTAAATTCGCGCTAAACTGGTGTTTGGCCACACTGTGCAGCGGTGCGGCACAGCGAGGATCAAGCTTAATTTGGAAACAATAGTACGTCATGGACGATCTTTACTCCGGAACGGCTCGACCGATCTCACTCAAACTTGGCACACCGCTAGTGAACGGTAAGTAGAGTAGTTCCAACGGGCCCTGATGAGTTTCTGGCGTTTTTTTTTACAGCCTGCGGTCCGGCGATGCCCAGCGTTGCCTCTTCAGTCAGGTATATGGTGGTGGCACAGTTTTGCCCTGGGAAGTGGCTGCGCGCGGGAAGTGATTTCGTACAATGATTTTGGCGGTGCATGGGATGGTGCAATAAAGCGCAACTGGGTGTTACGCATGATGTTATGGCATCCCCTTTGTGTGATAATATACCTACCCCAGCACTCAGCATGCAACTGTCTCGTGATCTGGTGAAGAGGCACTTGACGATGTCGATTTCTCCACAGATGTCGAGGGGGGAGGAAAATGGATTTAGACGAGCTAGGCCGAATTTCAAATCCGTTTGAAATTCTAAGCGGTTTTAGTAAAAATGGGCGTTTCAATGGCACATCTAAATCGGTTTACACCAGGGCTGGGAAATCTCTCATACTTTCATACCCCAGTAGGTAGCAGATATCGCTTTATTGTTCAATCAATTGTAGCAAAATCAACATTTCTCTCTTCCGTACATCATTAAGAAAAAACACAATGAAAAACATCAAAATTCGCACATTTAAAAAAGGTACCACCGGTCACTGATCTCGTCCGCGAATAAGAACAAAACATCTGTAAAACCAACACAACTTCAAAACGTCAGCTATGTGCTCCAGGTTATGACGAATCTGGCGGCTCTTTGTAGCAGTTTCCATTGTAGCATCACTAATTCTTCATACTCTGAGTCGTGTAGCTAAAGGATTCTGCTACGCCTTTTTACGCGCTATCTTTCTTATGAATTTTGCAAAAAGGAGTTTCATTATTCGTGAAATATTCCAAAGACATATTTGTGAAACAAAACAAATTGTCTAAAAAAGGGCATTGTTCAATGATAAATAAAAATACGAAAAGAATCAACTCATTTCGCCCATGACAGCTCTAAAAAGCCATCTTTGATGAAACGGTGTCCTGTTACGTCTTTTATTCTTTTGATGACGTCATATACAATCTTTTTTTCAGAATCTTGAGTATTTTTTGTTTATATCATACTAATTTGAAATAAACTAAAGTTTTAAAAGAAAAAATTAACCTTTTTTAAAGTTTTATTTACAAATTCAAACAAATACACACAAATTACATCATTGCTGTTGGTATATTTTGTTGATGCGTTGTTTCTGGCGCATTAGAGACAGTTCTAGCTGTCGTTTCTCGTGGGTAGTTTAATGAGAGGTGTTTTTGCATAATTTCAGCTATTTTAGCTCTCATTTTGGCTCTGTTTTAGGGAGGAGGGATTTTCCAGGGGGGAGCATTCATTCTGGCCAGGGTTCATAATGTCCAGGGTACGTTATGCCCAGTGTCGAAATGGCCAGTGCCTTAAATGGGCCAGAGTTCATAATGTCCAGGGATTGCATGGTCCAAATGCGGCCAACTGGCTGCAGATAGGGTATATTCAAAGAGGCCAGGGTTCATAATGTCCAGGGCACGATGTGTCCAGTGTTCGAAATGGTCAGGGTTCATAATGTCCAGGGCACGATGTGTCCAGTGTTCAAAATGGCCAGAGTTCATAATGTCCAGGGCACGATGTGTCCAGTGTTCAAAATGGCCAGTGCCTTGAATGGGCCAGAGTTCATAGTGTCCAGGGATTACACAGTCACTGAAAGTGACGTCATTATGTAAAAAAACACGGAACCAGCTCAATGCGAAGCAGTGCAGTGCCGAAGGCAATGCCTTAGGAGTTAGGAGAGATTACAGGCAATAGTAAATCAAATATTTTTAGGTTAAGTGGTTATGTATCTGGCTTCAGGCCGAAGGCCTGAAGCCTGATGCATAACCACTTAACCTAAAAATATTTGATTTACTATTGCTTGCAATCTATTCATGCGAGAAACTATTTCCTTATTCCCAGTGGGCAAACATCATTACCTTAGGTTAGGTTAGGTTAGGTTAGGTTAGGTTAGGTTAGGTTAGGTTAGGTTAGGTTAGGTTATTTTAGGTTAGGTTAGGTTAGGTTAGGATAGGTTAGGTTTGGTTGGGTTGGGTGGACTATGTAATCCCTGGACACTATGAACTCTGGCCCATTCAAGGCACTGGCCATTTTGAACACTGGACATATCGTGCCCTGGACATTATGAACCCTGGCCATTTCGAACACTGGACACATCGTGCCCTGGACATTATGAACCCTGGCCATTTCGAGCACTGGACACATCGTGCCCTGGACATTATGAACCCTGGCCTCTTTGAATTTACCCTATCTGCAGCCAGTTGGCCACATTTGGACCATGTAATCCCTGGACAATATGAACACTGGACAATTCAAGGCACTGGCCATTTCGAGCACTGGACACATCATGCCCTGGACATTATGAACCCTGGCCTAAATAATACGCACCCTTTCCAGGCCTAATTTCAAGTGTTGTAATGACAACTGTCCCTATAGCGGCATGCAGTACACAGTTAAAGAGCAAGGTAGCCGCCCAGCACGCAAAGCAAGATGTGAAGATATAGGGAGATATGATCGAATTTGCGCAGGTGAGATCTGATTGAAATATTGATCAAGTAACGCCCAGAAAAGATTTTTTTTTTATTTACTTCCTTACATGCTCAATTATTGTATTAAGTCTTAACCTTGATTGGTGACAACTGGCAACTTTTGTACAGCGGGTTCGGCATGCACAATGATTGTAAATTGTTGACCAGACTGAGTAGCCAAATCAACCTGATTTCTTTCAAATACTTTCTGCCTGAGTAGGCTAATAGCATCTGAATCCTGAAGTTGCTGGAATGCTGATAGGAAAATTCTAGGGCTCACTGGAGCTTCCTGGTGCTCTTGGGTGGTGCTGGAACTTGCCCTGGGAAAGCCCCACAGCACCTTTTTTATATTTGTATGCTTTTTCTAAGCCTGAGTACCTACCTACAAAGAGTAAGAAATAAGAAAAACAACATTCACAGGGGGCATAAGCAAGACACTGTACCTACTACCTATCTGTTTTTGTTTGTGCAACCAACTAAATAAAAACATTTAAAGCTCAATTTGAGAACAGATAGAAAATGGAAGTTGAAAGCTCTGTCAATAATTTTGATTAATTTGTAAAATCATTTTCTCTAGCAGACATGATGTGAGGAACATTTGTGGCAATGTAGCTAATAAGAGTTTTTCGTAATTTCTGGTATGTAGCAGATTCAGCATTTTTCCCAGCCCTGGTTTACACCTCAGATCCGCTTTGAGTTGTGTCATGGAAACGGGGCTAATGTTGACGCCCCGTCGGCTGTAGAATTAGGGGGCAGCGCCTCCGCTGCCCCCCTCCCCCGTTCCCGGTTTTATGAGATGGCGGTAGTCGGCGCCCTGCGCCCTGCCTTCCCTTGGTGGCACTCACTTGTCGTATACATAAACTGGTCCTCCTCCTCGGTGTCTTCAACACGCTCCTCACGGCTGAGCCTGACGAAGCCGGCGCTGGCGCGATCAATCTGTCGGAGATGGCCGAAGACGGCGGGTCAGCTGCAGCACGCCGAGAGACGGGCTCGATAACTGCTCATTCCAGCGCACAGTGTGGCCGACACACCAGTTTGGCGCCAATTTAGCCCGCGCCCCACTGGGGTTCTGGATTTACGCCCTGCTGGGGGAGGGGTGTTTGAACAGCCCTTCCCCTTTCTAACTCGACTCCCGGGCCACGTAGCGTTACGGAGAAGGCGGTGTTCGAAAGAGCGTCAAAATTAATGACGAAATTACTCCGGTCACTTTTTTGTCAGGTCAAAGGTCAGGTCACCAGAGGTCATTAAAGACCAACTTTCGTCGATTTTCAAGTTGTCGCTGTTCGTTACTGCCCTGTGACTTTTTCTCCTAATGTTACCGTACCGTATTTGTTTTACATCGTTACTGTGTTGTATCCTACCTTTCCTTTACGCCCCGTCATTTTATTTTACCTATGGCAGCCCATTTGGTAACCCCTGCATCCTTCACGAATATTTTCCTAACCGCGCCGATTTCGCTTTGTTGTCGTATTTTGTTCTGAGTTCTGTCGCCACCGCCGCCGTGTGAGGTTGTCTACCGCCAGTGTGTTAGCCTGCCACCGCCGCCACCAATATATGTAATTGAAGTGTTCATATATATTCAAGTTTTTCAAGTCGAACCAGAGAGCCGGCCCAATTTATTTCATTTTGATTTTCAACATAGTCCTCCGGGCCGGATGACTTTTCATTTGTTAGGATTATGCAGCTGTTTACAGGGGCGGATCCAAGGGGGGGGGGTCACATGGGTCATGGCCCCCCCTTGAGGCCCGGGGGCCCAAAGACCTTCCAGGGCACCACCGGCCTATCAGGGGTATCACAGTCCTGACAGGGGCACCACAGGACCGCCAGGGGCACCACAGGCCTAGCAGGGACACCACGGGCCTGGTGCCCCTGGGCCCTGACAGGACTGTAACGCCCCTGACAAGCCTGAAGTGTCCCCGGCAGGCACGTGGTGCCCCTGACAGGCCTGAGGCGCCCCTGCAAGGCCGGTGGTGCCCCTGGCAGGCCTGTGGTGTCCATGGCAGGCCTGTGGTGTCCTTGCTAGGCCTCTGGTGCCCCTGACAGGCCTGTAATGCCCCTGGAAGGACTGTGGTGCCCCTGGGCCCTGACAAGCCTGAGGTGCCCCTGACAGGCCAGAGGTGCCCTTGCTAGGCCTGTGGTGCCCCTGGCAGGCCTCTGGTGCCCCTGACAGGCTTGCGGTGCCCTTGGAAGGACTGTGGTGTCCCTGGGCCCTGACAAGCCTGAGGTGCCCCTGACAGGCCCGTGGTGCCCTTGTTAGGCCTGTGGTGCCCCTGGCAGGCCTCTGGTGCCCTTGCTAGGCCGCTGGTGCCCCTGGCAGGCCTCTGGTGCCCTTGCTAGGCCGCTGGTGCCCCTGGCAGGCCTCTGGTGCCCCTGCACCCGGAGAGGACTGGTGCCCCTGAAAAGTCTGAAGTGCCCCTCGGCAGGCCCGTCGTGCCCCTGACAGGCCCAAGGTGCCCCTGCGAGGCCGGTGGTGCCCCTGGCAGGCCTCTGATGCCCCTGGCAGGTCTGTGGTGCCCCTGGCAGGTCTGTGGCGCCCCTGGCAGACCTGTGTTGACTGGTGCCCCTGCTAGGTCGCTGTGCCCCTCACAGACCTGTGGTGCCGCTGGGCCTTGACAAGCCTGAGATGCCTGGCTATGACAGGCTCGTGGTGCCCCTGATAGACCAGTGGTGCCCTTGCTAGGCCTGTAGTGCCCCTGGCAGGCCTCTGGTGCCCCTGCTACCCCTGCGCCCTGAGAGGACTATGGTGCCCCTGAAAAGCCTGAAGTGCCTCTCGACAGGCCCGTGGTGCCCCTGGGCCCTGACAGGCCCAAGTTACCCCTGCGAGGTCGGTGGTGCTCCTGGCAGGCCTCTGGTGCCCCTGGCAGGTCTGTGGTGCCCCTGGCAGGCCTGTGTTGACTGGTGCCCCTGCTAGGCCGCTGGTGCCCCTCACAGGCCTGCGGTGCCCCTGGAAGGACTGCGGTGCCCCTGCCCCTAGGGGTGCTCATGGGCCCAACAGGCCCGTTGTGCCCCTGACAGGCCTGTCGTGTATACTTGCTAGACCTGTGGTGCCCCTGCTTCCTGGCAGGCCTGTGGTGCCCCTGGCGGGCCTGTGGCGCCCCTACAAGGCCGTAGGTGCCCCTGACAGGTTTGTGGTGTCCCTGGAAGGACTTTGGTGCCCCTGACAAGCCTGAAGTGTCAAGGACAGACCCTTTAGACGCCAGGGTCAAGTTCGTCGGACTGACAACGATTTGCTTACCTGATAACGTTCCTGGTAAGTACTCATTACTCAGCGTCCACAACATATATACACATAGCACATTCATATATACTTGCTTACAATTGGTAAATGTGGTTGTGGCTAAGAGGTAAGATACTGACTAAAAATAAAAAATAAAAATAAAAAACTGAAAATGGGGGCACCACCAAAATGAAGTGGACGAAATCCGTTGAGTTTTTAATTTTGGGTATAGGTAGGGGCACCACTTCGATTCGATCGACCCTCCCCTTGGAGTTTTCCTGGATCCGCCCCTGGCTGTTTAGTGCTCGCGTGGGCGTCACTTTCGGTGTTGTTTGCGCGAGCCTGGCGCAGCGTGGTTTTCTGCGTTGTGGCGAGTCTTTGTTCTGAAATGTAACCGGGTGGGCTACAATACATTTTGTTATCTTTTGAAGAGCAGCCTGTGAAGCACTGTGTGGGAATACTGTGTGGCAAGCCTGTGTGGCATCAGGAGTTTTAAGCCCAGAGTATAACAATCAGCGGTGGGATATAAAGACCTAAGAAGCCAAGTTATAAGAAGCTGAGTGCGCCAGATTTGTATCGCGGAATTTTCAAGTGCTAATCTGAAGATCAAGATGGCAATGTCATTAAAGCCACCAACCTTTGTGTATGAGGAACCGAGTCACTTTTTTGCACAATTCAAGAGGTTCTGTATAATTTCTGGACTCGCAGGTGTCGCTCAGCGTGAGTTGTTGCTCTTTGTGATTGGCGAATGTCCAAAAGCTGCTTGGATTGCGACAGAGTTGGAGTCTGAGCTGGCAGGAGTGGATCTGAAGGACACGGTCAGCAAGTCTGAAGCGCTGGTAATGAGACTTCTTCAACCTGAAGTGCTCAAGACACATGTGCTCCAAAGTCTAGAGGGGCGGAAGCTGAAACAAGGTGAGACCCCTCGAGAGTATGTCGAAAGCTTGAGAGGTCAACTAAAGCAGGCTTTGCCAGACTTGTCTAAAGATTCTATGACTAGACTTCTGATTGTTCAGGCAATCAAGGGTGCTCCGCAGGCTTGGGCTCACAAGCTAGGTGATGAGGATTTCAAATCTGTGGATCAACTTGTGCAGCACATGACTTTGCTTCAAGTGAACAGCCAGCCAGTTAGCAACCAGGTGGCATCTCGGAGAGTGTCTGAGCGCAAGTGCTACAAGTGTCGGAAAGCAGGACACCTAGCCAGGGACTGTCGAAGTGATACCTCAGCTCAGAGATGTGGAAAGTGTACTCTGCACGGACACAGTGAAGAGCATTGTCGTACAACATGTCACAAATGCAAGAGAACTGGGCACATTGCCAAAAACTGTGCTTCAACCAGAAGAGTAACTGTGGGCAAAACACTGTCACTGGACATTGAGCTGAATGGACGTGCTGTAAAGGGAGTTTTAGATTGTGGTAGTGAGCGCACACTGGTGTCTGAAGCCACAGCAAGAGCAGCTGGTCTCGTGAGCAAAAACTGTGGTGTCAAAGTGACAGGAGCAGGCAAGGAAGCCTTGAAAGTAAGTGGATGTGCAGACTGTGACATCTCTGTCTCAGAAACAGGAGGAGTGGTCAATCTTGAAGTGCTTGTGGTAGCATGCAGTGACCAAGTGCTGTTGGGCACTGATTTCCTCAGAGCTGCAGAGGTTAGCATGGACTTTGCAACAGGAAAAGTGTCATGTTTTGGAATTCCTGTGGATCAAGCCCCAGTCACAGTGTGTAGATGTGTGATAGAAGACATGTCTATGGAAGAAAGCTTCGTAGAAGAGGATGTGCCATATGCGAAGCCGCATGTCCAGTCAAAAGCAGAAGTGAAGCTCGACCATCTTGTTGAAGACAAAGCAGAGAAGGTGAAACAAGTACTTCAGAAGCATGATTTCTTCACGCGAGAGGGAATGGAGCTGGGTCAGGTGGATGCGGTCAAGCATGACATTGTACTGTGTGAAGAACCGAAGAAGAAGAAGGTGTATCCTGTACCACCAGCTCTCCGTGAGGTAGTAGCAGAGCAAGTTGAAGATATGCTGAACAAAGGAGTGATCAGGGAGTGTCAGAGTCCCTACGCCAGTCCGATCCTGCTGGTCAAGAAGAAGGGGACTGATCAGTACAGATTTTGCACAGATTTCAGGGAGCTGAATCGGTGCACGATCAAGGATGCGTTCCCGTTGCCAAGGATCGAGTCACTTTTGGCTTCAATCGGTACGGAGAAGTGCTGGTTCAGCCAACTCGATCAAACCGCAGCCTATTGGCAAGTCAAGCTGAAAGAAGAGGCACAACTGAAGACCGCGTTCCTGACTGAAGAAGGACAATTCTGCTATCGAACACTCGCATTTGGTATGTGCAATGGTCCTGCCACATATCAACGTTTGATGACAAAGGTTCTGAAAGATTTGCTCTACAAGTCGGTGGTGGTATACTTGGATGATGTGCTGTTGTTTACAAAGACGTTTGAAGAGCATTTGGAGTTGTTGGATGAGGTCTGCAGCAGGATAGAGAAGTTCGGGATCCGGGTGAATCCTGAAAAATGTAGCTTCGCTCAGAAAGAAGTGAAGTTTCTGGCTCACATCATATCCGAAGGCAGCATTCGACCAACAGAGAACCACGTGGAAGCCATCAGCAAGTACAAGAAGCCAGAAACGAAGACCGAAGTACTCAGATTCCTGGGAATGGTCGGATACTTTCGACATCTCATACCGCACTTCGGTACAAGAGCAGCGCCACT